GGTGATAAAGAAGCATCATAGGGGAAACTTGGTGGAGTTATGCAACTATTATGTCTTAAGTGGAGTAATGATTTTATGACTACATATCTTCATCTTAAGTCATAAATCTGTACACTAAAGAGTGAATTTTAGTCTGTGCAAATTTAAAAGTGAATAACAGTAAGTTAAAAAGATTTTAATATAGTCATGCACTCACAGAGAGAGAGAGAGATGGAGAGACAAAGAGATAGAGAGAGGGAGAAAGCACTCCTGACCCCAATATTCCATGATCATGCCTCAATCCCTTTTCTTCCATTTCTGGAGGAAACTGTGGTATGTACACACATGCATCTGGGATGAATTTCAAGTCTCTGGGATCAGGATTCAGACCACGATTGGCCATGTGTAATCCAGCTCCCTAGACTGCTAGGCTATTGTGTTAGCCTGACTCATTCTACTTTTAAAATCATGTTTTCTAAGAATGCATACTCATGAGTAAATATTTTTGGTACTTTTCAAGTGATTAAACCAGCTAGGTCATTATTAAGGCATTGAGCTTGTTTTAAATATTATATATAATGCCATATTTAAAACAAGCTCAATGCCCTATGCCCTAATAATGACCTATCTGGTTTATATATAAGCAGTTTTATAAAGGAATTCATCTGAACTATTTCCATGTGAAAATATAGCCTTAGTTATCTGGAATCCCTAAGGAAGCAATCATTCCTAGAAGCTACTTTCAGGTACTCCTGAAACATAAATCTAAAATATTTTACTCATTGCTCTGCTTTCTTGAGTAAAGCATAGTGAACATACTTTGATCTTTCTTCAGTGGCTCAGGTCTTTTTAAAAATACTGAATCCCTGGGGCCAGCAGGTGGCATGGTGGTTAAGTCTCTGGACTCTCACATTGTCGGCCACAATTTGAGTCCCAGATCTGATGGCTTGCTCCCCCCCACCCCCCTGTGAGTGCACATCCCCTATAGCAAATTTAAAAAAATAATAAATTAAATTAAATTTAAAAACACTGAATACTTAGGTCTAGCTAAGAGAGACTTTAGAAATTGTGTGGGCTTAAACAGTGGTATCGCAGTAAAACATGATTCTCTGTGAGGCTGACCCACATGAGAAAGTTCATGGTTTACTCATGGAGACTTCCCTGAGGACACTGGGCATGCATGGTCCCATGGTCTAGGGCTGGCTGAGGCTGAGGTGGATCATGACATCAAGATGCTGCTGGGGAAGTACTCTCTTCTTTGCTTATATTAAATATAATTAAACTTAAAAAAAAGAGACATCCCATACCTAAATATGATAGATAAGCTGATATGCCAAAAATATAAATTTGTTGCAACTATAATATGCTTTATAATTTAAGAAAAGTAAGTTAACATATCCCAACTTATTTTATCAACCCAGATTGGTAAGTAAGACAAGTCATATAATCCAGCATTTAACAAACTTGGAAATGGTCGCTAATGGAAATTAAGTGATTTACTGAATAGCAGTGAAGCTGAATATAGAATACAGGTCATCTTATTCTCGGCTAGGTGCAATTAGTGGGTGATATAATGCAAAGAGTGTATTAATATTGGACCAGAAAACCTAAGAATAAAACTTAAATGACTTGTTACTTCATTATGTATTTTTCTTTCATTCTTTCGTGAGATACCCCCTACAGGGCCTTGTTACACTGAGATCATCCCTCCCTTCCCCAGTAGCATTCCAGCCAGTCAGGACTACAGGCACACCTGTAGGTACACTCAGCACATTTAAATCAACCCAGGAATGAAACCCAGGGCCTTTTGATGTGGCTCCAGTATCACAGCTACATCCCACAATCTGACTGGACTGATTTGTAACTTCAGTATTTATTCTCCTATATCAGCCACCCTTCCCAACCCAACCCAACTCAACCAAACCCAACCCAACAGATTTTATTTCCCATGGAGTCAATGACTTGTCATTTTATCATCCACATAAATAATAACTCAACTTTAAAAGTGATTTTTTTGTTTTATTCATGATAGAACTTGCACATATGCACATGAGACAGATAGATAGATAGATAGAGAGAAGCACACCTTTATCCCCTTCCCCTGATCCTCTAGCCCATCAGATCTTGAGCACTTAAGTGCGAACTCGGTGTGATTCAGACTTACTATACTGGACATTCAAACCGTCGTCACCATGTGGAATCCAGCTTCTCTTGAGCAGTACATTAGCACATGTCACAGAGCCGGCCTAAAAGCTAATTATTTTTAAAAAAATATCCTGATCATTTTTTGCAAATTATTTCAGAACTTCATTATTTTCAAATGATTCAGAACTCAGCTGTATATTCATTCAGTGTTTTATTATTTCATAGACTAAGCCAATGAGAGTTAAGTAGAGATAATGACAAGTTATTTTGTTTAAATACGGTTATCTTTTTGTCATGCTAAAGAATTAATTTCCTATAATTTGAAAGAAAAATAGTAGATCTCTTGAACAAAGTAACTTTGCTGCTATGTTTACTGAATTTAGGGAAAAACAAATCTCTCATCATCATTTTTTCTTAGAGTTGTAGACAATAGAAATCTGTTTAGTATTCAGTCCCTTGTATTTGGCTATCAGTATCAGCGGGGAAGGACTTGCTGTGCTTTTTTGTAAGGTTATATCATACCTGGGTAAGTGTAAAAGTTGCAACCAGTCAGTTGGAAAGCACTTCTGTATTATTAGGTAAGGTATAATCCCATTTGGGGATCACCCACATTTTGTACTCTAGGCTTTTTCAGTAGGTACAGCCCTACAGAGGAGGATCAGAGTCATTATCCTGATTATGCATTAGTGAATGTAGTTTCCCACCTTCATCTGAACTCATTCCAAAATACCTTGCTTGTAAATCCATACCATATGAGGCATTTCAGGTATTTGACCAATGAGGTTCTTCTGATTGTGACTGAATCATTTCGGAAATAGCATCTCAAATTTCACTAAAAGCTGGCAGCCATGATAGTAAAAATTGCTTCAATGAATATTGTTCTCACCCACTGATTCAAACATCCTTGAACATTTTGGTCATGTTACAGATAAGAGGTTTATAGTTCAATGTTAATGTCCTTGAATGAGACTTTCTTTGGAAGTTAGTGATGGTATTTTTTTTTTGAATGTTTTAGGAAGACACTATACTCTCTCTTTCCTGTGCCATTTACCACATCTGATTTTCTTTAATCAGATCTCTTAACATCAGATAGGGAGATTCTTGTGTGGTTAAGAAACAGCCAGGTATGCAAATTGCAGTAGATGGCTGTAGGACTATTTCAAATCGCCTTATTAGGTGGCTTTATTGTTCAAATTATTCAGAGAAAGGGAAATAATTTTTTATTTCTATGTCAGTATATTCGGTTGTTTCCATACACAGTATCCTAGAAAGATTGGTTTGGTTAGCCTTGTTGTTATTTTCCTAATTTTGAAGAGACATTTTCATTGGGAATGATTTTTGTTCTGTCTCTCAGCTTTTATTAGTAACAATTTCAAGGGTCAGCAGGTGGTGCGGTGGTTAAGACACTGGATTCTGGGACCAGCAGTTATTGTAATGGCTATGTTGCTGAACTCCCATGTAGTTTACTGTGGTTCGAGTCCTGGACCTGGTGTCTTGAAAATAACAAATCTTGGAACCAGCAGGTGGTATACTGGTTACATTGCTGGACTCCCATGTAGTCGACTGTGGTTCAAGTCCCAGACTCGACAGCTTAAAACTCACGCTGAGTGTGTATGTGTGTGTCTGGGCCCAAAATTCCAAGAGGAGAATGGAGGAGAAGGGATTGCTGTGAGGCCATCACCGCAGGAGGTGATTTCTCACTTTCTGTCTCTTTGTCTCTGTCTCTCTGGCGAGTGCACATGCTCTATAGCAAAAATCTCTCAAAAAAAAAAGAAAGAAAATCACAAATCTAGGTGTATGTATATGTGTGCCCAAAATCCCATGAGGACGGTGGAAAAGGAATTGTGGGTAGCCATCTCACCTGGGGGGTGATTTCTCACTTTTTCTCTCTGTCTCTTCAGAGAGCACGTGCATCCTATGTCAAGAATCTAAAAGAAAAATGAGGATAACTATTTTAGTACGATAGCTTTTAACAAAAATATGAAATTGCCTTAAGCTAATTATAAGGATTCTTTATCAAAAGCACCACTAGAATTCATCTTTTTTTTAAGAGTTTAACCTGCATTTATTTATGAGAGTCACGGAGTTGTTTTCCTTTACTATTATACATTTTATTTATTGGAGGATAAAATAGTGTTTTTTTACTTGTCTTGTGTAATTATGATAATATCAATTTAGTTAAAAGGAACATAGTTTTTACATGATCTGTTTTTGGTAAAATGTACGTGATTTTTAATTTTAATTTATATAAGTATTAAAATAATTAGTTTTGTTAGTATTATATAAAACAAAGAAATTTTCAGTCAGTGAACTTCCCTGTTTATGTTTAAATTTTAAAAAGAGGTTTTAATACATAAAAAAGAACTCATTTATCCCAGGAAAAGGAAAAATAAAAGCACCCTTTTGTTCCAGAGAGCAGCTTCTAGCTGTGAGACATATGCCAGACACCTTGCCTGACAAAGAACAGTGAGTGTCCCTGTTGATAATTGACCATGTATGGCTACTACCTTCTTTGGCTTTACTAGCCCTAAATATCTATTTCAGTGAAAGAACATTTTTTCCCATGCACTGACACTAACCAGATAAGAGAATTCTCTTTTTTCTTTTCTTTACTTCTTTTATTAATTTATTTTTGTGTGTGTATGTCTTTCAAATTGGTACTTTCTCTGAACAAATTAAAGTGTTTGCATTACATATATTTTCCAGTGAGAAGCTGTCTCCTTTTAGCACACAAATTATTGCCCATTACTGGGGATTAATTCACTTAAATATTACAGTTTGGAAACATTTAAACTTTATTGGAAAACAAAAGTATACAAATTCTACACATACCAAATTTTTATTCCAATTTTCAGAGTATCTTCTTTTATTTTTAGATGAATCTACGTTCTGTATTTACTGTAGAACAACAAAGGATTTTACAGCGTTATTATGAAAATGGAATGACAAATCAAAGTAAAAATTGCTTTCAGCTCATATTACAGTGTGCACAGGAGACTAAGCTGGACTTCAGTGTAGTCAGGGTAAGTATTGAGGTCTTACACTCAAATTTATAGCTTTTTATTACAAGTGGTATTTGCTTAATATGAGAAAAACTATTCAGGGTATGAAGTCACTAACCTTATAAACAGCTTCATTTCCCTAGTATAACAATATTAATTTTTTAACAAAGAAAGCTAATCATTTAGTATACTTTGTTTCTTTAAATACCTGGAAAACTCTAAAACCTTTGCAGGAAACAGAACCCTTTTCTTTGAACTAATAAATACCTTTAAAATTAGTTGTTGATCTTATGCTTTCCTTAAACTCAGAATTAATCTAGATACAATACCGTAATGTGATATCAGTAAAACAGGGATTTACTGAAGGAATATTGTATTTGAATTTTTCATCAGGAATTTTCAACTTTAATACTCTTGTCTTTTTAGGAAAACCTTATCTGTTTTAAGATATCTTCTTCTTCTAAGTAGAATCCATGCATTTCAATGGGATAGTAAGGGACAAGCAATTGAAGAGGAGGGATTTTTTTTATATCACAACCATAGATATTCAGTTGTAAATTAGAGTTGCTGCACATTGGTGAAAGGCAATGAGGTGATAGAAGGCAAGAGATAAATCTTACAAAACTAGTTGTGGATTTTATGGAGTGCATAGATCCTTTCATGTACAAATTCTCTTGGCGTGAAAACTTAGTGTGTCAAAAATTAGCAACTTTCTTACCCTTGGCATTTATCAAGTTAATTTGAGAAAGAGAAAGGACATCTGTTTTTAAGTTTATTTTGTGGTTTGATGTGCCTTAAAGGACTCTAATGATAAAAAAATCTTGATAAGCAGAATTCTTTGAAAAATATATTGCCTAAAAACGAAAAAATATATTCACCTTCAAATAGGGAATTATGCCCTTAATTCTAGGAGAAAATATCCAGGATCTTGGTTTCTTATTTGGTGAGATCAACCATCATATTCAGATTTGTGTATGAACCACAAATATCTCCTATTGATAGATCTAAATGCCCTATTTTAAATACTTTTACTGAGCCACAGAGGAAATTATTTAACTGCCTTATAAAAGTAATATAAAAATGTGTAATATTTCAAGTTGATGAGATTGAATTTTATAAGTGCAATCTCTTTTTTTTTCTTTCAGTAATTTCCTTCTGTGTATGTGTGTTTTGTTTGTTTTTGGTTTGGTTTGGTTTGGTTTTTACTTTTATCTACCATTACCTTAAAGAGAAAAACCTTGCCAAGCAGATGCACTGTGGACTGTCAGATTTCATATTTATGATTTATTATTTCAGTCTTCCATTTATAACTTACCTGATCATGCGTGAATATTGAGAATGCTGATACAGAGATTTATATTTATGTTGCAAATGGTGTGAAAACCTAAAACAAACAAGGGGATAAAAGATACAAATTCTTAGATTGTAAGAGCAAAGTGAAATGTTATATAAATTATAAAGAACTATGTAAACAGATTCATTTTCTCCATTCCAGGGGAATATAAATTGTACAGAAACTCAGTCTTGCTAATCTGAATCTCAAAACGTTTTGGATTTGTTTTCCAAACAGAGGAAAAGGGAGTTGTTTGGAGACTTATCGCTCCACCATTCTCCTCCCTTTAGCCTCCAGTATTTTACTGGAACTTTTATGTTCTTCTTGAGACTTTTCTTCATTATTTTTAATGTAATATTCATTGTCTTTCTCCTGAAAAGAACTGAAATCTCACTGTATTAAGAACTTGATCCCAGGACCAGCAATTAGCATAATGGCTTTGTCGCTGGACTCCCACTTGGTCTATGGTGGTTCGTGTTCCCAGGCCCGGTGGCTTAAAACTCACGCCGGGCGCCTGTGCATGCGTGCCCAAGATCCTAAAAGGAGAATGGAGGAGAAGGGACTGTGGTGTGGCCGGCCGCCCTGGGGGGTGATTTCTTGCTTTCTGTCTCTGTCTCTCTGTCTGTCTGGCGAGCAAACGCACCCTATAGCGAAAACCTCTAAAAAAAATAAGAACTTGATCCCCATGTAAAGAGAATTTAAAAGGTTAAAACATTTAAGCAAAAATAAATGTAGTGGGGGAAAAAGAACAGGAATAAAAAAGAAAGAGAGGCATAGAAAAAAAGAAAGAGGCTTGGAAACAAATGAATTTCTAGAGAGAACTGAAAAACAATTTTGTGGACATCAAAGATCCAAATGTCTTTCTTTATTTCTTATGTACAATCTCTTTGTTGGTTCCTTACCCTAAATTCTCATCACATCAATTTTGTTTAAACAATTTTCTTTTTCTTTCCAACCAATGGGGCATCTACGAGGGACATTCACCTATATTTGATAAGCGTTCATTGGTAAATTTTGGATTCTATCACTGAACTTTTTAAAGTATAATGTAATTCAGTTATTTGGAACTCTTTGGCAATGAGGTTTTTTTTTTAAATTCTAAACGTTTTAAATGGAAATAGGTCTTAAGCATATACTTTCAATGGAGAATCTAGAAAATATTTGAATGCTTATTTTTTGACTCAGGGATTTTATTACAGAAATCACTTATTATACTATGCTATAAAATAACAACACTTACAACTCAATAAGGTATATTGGTTTTTTCCCTTTATTAAAATCCTCACACTGCTATTTAGTGTTTTCTCAAACTGATATTGTAGTTTTCCCTTTCTTCTTTTTAGTGAGCAATGTTTAATGAACATTTTTAGTTTGGGTGTTATTAGAATGCCTGCCGACAGCAATCTCTATTATTAACACACCTTCTATTTTGTTAATTCTAATTTGTTGTAAATAAGAATACCAGATTTTTAAAAATTATGCATAGAGAAAGTGGGTTTTAAGATGGAGGGTTGTCTCATGACTCTTGTGACATTTATGTTGGCTGAGTTCTGGACATGTGCGTTTACTAGGTTGTTAGATAGGTGAATTTCAAGTATACCACATTGTACTTTTTGATGGGTGCATAATATAAATAGTTATTAAACTATGTAAGTAACTATGCAATATACATATACGTATAAACTGCAAAACTGTGTAAATGGCATATAAATTTTCAATGCATTAAGCACTCTTAAACTTCTTGAGTTAAGGTAGGTATTACGTTAAGAGAACACAGTAGGTTCTGGGTTTTTATGAAATGTCATCCAGAGGGGACCAGCAGTTAGCATAATGGCTATGTCGCTGGACTCCCATGTAGTCGACCGTGGTTCGCATCCTGGACCCAGTGGCTTAAACCTCACGCCTGTTGCGTGTGCTTGCGTGCCCAAGATCTCGAGAGGAGAATGGAGGAGAAGGGATTGCGGCGTGACCATCCCCCCTGGGGGATGATTTCTCACTTTCTGTCTCTATGTCTCTCTCTGTCTGTCTGGCGAGCGCACGTGCCCTATAGCAAAAACCTCTCCAAAAAAAAAAAAGTCATCCAGAGCTGCCCTCCAGATACATTTGTTCTTGAATTCAATTTTTACTAATTTACTATGATTTTCCATGAAATATTTTTAATGTAATGCTTATGTATTTTTTTGTAAAATTTTGTACAAATACATCATGCTTCCTGCATTGTTTTAGCTTCAAATGCCATAACCTATTTTGAATTTTTGTAAAATTCACCTTTGTGGCATTTATATTTATCCAAAAACATTCATTTTAAAATATTTCTCTTGAGTACATATTTTCAAAACCTTACAGATTTTCTCCTCAGTCTCCTGTGATATTTATATTCATACATCCTTTTGGTTGTAATTCTCACTCCTGCTGTTTCATGAAAGTAAATTAGAATGAGTTGAAAATTTCCACTGCCCCATGTGAAGCAAAATGGAGCAGTGCAGTTTCTGGAAAATTTTCTTTATAGAAGAAACAATCATTATAAAAGTTAAATGGCCAAAAGAGATGACTATTTTAAGAGCTTCTAACCACTGTATGTGGCTTAGTGGAAAGGTGATATGCTTTAAAGTCATGTAGTACTGACTTTGAATCTTTGATCTGTCATTTGCTGGCTTTCTCAATGTCAGTTTCTTCATTGACACAATTGGAAAAATAACACCTAACGAAGGAGCCATTATATGTGAAGGACATATAATGAGGATTCATGCTTGTTACAGTATTATATAGTAACAATAATGCTTTACATAATTATATATTGTGGAAGTATATATTGCCTAAATAAACATTGAAAGTAGGATAGCTTATGTGGTCTTCAAAAACAAATCATACATGAGACCAGCAGATGGCTTAGCAGTTATATCGCTCGACTTCCACATGACTGACTGTGGTTCCTACATGGCCTACCATGGTTCATGTCCCAGACCTGGTGCTTTGAAAATCATGCTGAGCATGTGTGTGTGCATGGCCAAGATCCCAGGAGGAGAATGGAGGAGAAGGGATTTCAGCGTGGTTATTTCCCCTGGGGGGTGATTTCTTACTTTCCCTCTCACTATCTCTGTTTCTCTCTGTCTTTTCTTCCTCTCTGGTGAGTAGATGTTCCCTAAGGGAAAAAACTTCTCAAAAAAAAAAAGAAAAACCACATCATACAAAGTTGCACAAATAAACCCTGTACCATATTTATACAAGGCCAGTTCATTTGATGTTTTCATTTATTCATTTATTTTGTTTAATTCTTAATAAATTAATGTGTTTGGGTAGTTTATAATATGGTCTCATTTTGGAATAATTATAAAGTTTGGTAATCACATTATAGAATATAATATTTCTTAGTGTGTGTTTTAAGAACCATGATTCAGTGCAGTATTACTGATAATTATAACAAATTACTTACAAAAAAGCATATATTTTGTAATCAAATCCTAAATGCTATCCAGTGGTATTATTTTTATTAATAACTTCTTTTCTGTCTATAAAAGTAATGCATATTCATTGTCTAAAACTTGTTAAGTTGATTAAAGTGTAAAGAAGAAAATAACTACCATAAATTAATGGCAAATTGAAAAAAAAATGTTTGCAATGTGTGACAAATCTTTAGTAGAAAATTGCTTTTACAAATCAATTTACAAATAAAACACGCTAGTATAAAAATGGGTAAAGGTAATGGTTGAGCGATTTTATCAAAGTAATATAGTAACCATAGAAATTCAAATGAAAACAGCGATTTATCTTTTATTAACTTCCAGACTAGTAAAGACTACAAAAGAGATGATGCAAACTGTTGGTTAGGGTTTAAAAAAATCAGAAATCTCATAGATTGGAGGACATTTTATAAATATTGGAGCCTAGCAATTCGCCTTTTAGTATTCCATTATAATGGACAAATAGGCCAAATATATATGATGAGCTGTACAACAATGTTTTATGACAATGACTATTTCTTTTTTGTTTGTTTGTTTGTTTAGAGAGACATTTTTGCTATAGGGCATGTACACTCACCAGAGAAATACAGAAAGCTAGAAATCATCCTCTGGGGGAATGACCATGCCACAGTACCTTCTTCATTCTCCTCTAGGGATTTTATGCATGCATGCTCATGCGCCTGGTGTGAGTCTTAGGCAGCAAGGTCTAGGACTTGAAACACGGTCGACTACGTCCTGAGAGTCCTACAATGTAATCATTTCACCATCTGGGGGTCCCAATAATGAATATTTCTGGAAAGAATACAAATAGCAGTATGTAATTAATAAATTAATGATGTACTCATACAATAGAAGTCACTAAACCTGAAGATTGCAAAGATAAATATGAGTAATGAAACTATGAGCATTTTCTAATGTCATTAAATAACCTATCTTTAGTATGCTTTCATTTTTTTCACAAATAAATGTATGATGAACATCACCACACATAAATTTTTTCTGATTCTGTTTTTTAGGATAAATTCCCAGACATGTGTTTAAGTCAAAGAATATGTAAACATTTTATAGATTTTGATGTGTATTAATTGAATGGGTTTTGAGGAGAGGAGCAATAATACATTCTGTTCACAATGTTCTTAGATATTTATTAAGTGTGAGTCCTTGATAATCTTTGCCCAAATTGTTTTTTCTTCCTTTGTTTTGAAGATTTTTTTTTCATAATACCATTTTTTTAATCCTTTCAGACGTGGGTTGGCAATAAGAGAAGAAAAATGAGTAGTAAGAATTCTGAATCAGGAACAGTAACAACAGGAAATGTTTCCGGTACCTCTTTGGCAGCTCCAGACATTACTGTCAGAAATGTGGTTAATCTCACTCGGCCCTCAAGCCAACAGTCTTCTTGGACATCTACCAATAATGATGTCATAGTAACTGGCATTTACAGTCCAGCCAGTTCATCAAGTAGACAAGGGACAACCAAACACACAAATATACAAAATATAGAAGCACATAAAATTCCCATTCAGAAAACGGCCAGTAAAAGTGATACTGAGTTTCAGTTGCACATTCCGGTTCAAAGACAAGTAGCACACTGTAAAAATGCTTCCCTACTCCTAGGTGAAAAAACAATTATTTTGTCAAGACAGACAAGTGTGCTAAATGCTGGAAATTCGGTATATAATCACACAAAGAAAAACTATGGAAGCTCTTCAGTGCAAGCTTCTGAAATGACGGTATCTCAAAAGCCATCTGTTTGCCACCGACCTTGCAAAATTGAACCAGTTGGAATTCAAAGGTCATATAAGCCTGAACATACAGGTCTGGCATCACATAACTTATGTGGGCAAAAGCCAAGTATTAGAGACCCTTACTGTAGAACACAAAACTTGGAAATCCGTGAAGTGTTTTCATTGGCAGTTAGTGATTACCCCCAGAGAATTCTGGGAGGAAATGGCCCACAGAAGTCTAGTTCAGCAGAAGGAACTTGTTTGTCCATTGCAATGGAGACTGGTGATGCTGAAGATGAATATACCAGAGAGGAAGAGTTGGCGTTGATGGGAGCACAGATACCAAGCTACTCAAGATTTTATGAAAGTGGCAGTTCCCTTCGAGCTGAGAACCAAAGTACAATTTTGCCTGGACAAGGAAGAAATATGCCAAATTCACAAATGGTGAATATTAGAGATTTGTCAGACAATGTACTGTATCAAAATAGAGACTACCATTTGACACCACGGACCTCATTGCATACAGCATCTACTACAATGTACAGTAATACAAATTCATCACGGAGTAATTTTTCTCCACATTTTACATCATCAAACCAATTGAGATTATCACAAAACCAAAACAATTACCAGGTAATGTGTGAACTTATTTTATAAAGGTTTAAAAAGCTGTTTTTAGTTTTTAAAACTGGTGTGTATCCAGTTAGACTTCAGACCTGAGTCACTTACTTCATTTTGAAGTAATTTTAGATTTTTCTCTTCAAAGTGATGTTTTGGGTTCAATCCTTGAAGAATCTTGTGCTTTCTTTGTATGTTTAAAATGATCAGCTTTTTCTTCACAGAATATAGTAATTTTTATAATATGGCAGCTTTCTCATGACATTTAAAACAATCTTTTTCAGGAAATGGTAACTTTGTGGAAAGCATGGCATTTAATATCACTAAAATAGGATTAAATTGGCTAGGTTCATTCTCTTGAGCATAGATTATTCTTGTAATGGTTTTTATTTGCAACTTGAGGAAACATCACTAGATGTATGGTGCTGTCCCTGGGTACATAACCAGGCAAGTCAATCATTTTTCTAGGTGCTGGTGGTTGAGAAGTCAGAGACTGCAGTAACTCAGCCAACTTATTTTTCTAAAAGTGAAAGCTTTAGTAAAATATTCAGTGGAATATTAACCAGTCTATTTAAAAAATATTTGTAGAGCAAAAACATATTCAGAGTAAGAATTAAAGCAAATTTAGACCAGTACACAAAATCGGTGTTTTTTTTTTTTGTTTTACGTAGTCTATTGTTCTTGTAGGCGTCAGATAATATTTTTAGCAGTGTAATATAACCCTAACTCAGAATATCTCTTAAGGCCATAGACCTCTGAAAAATCTGTTAGAGAATATGAATATAGATATTTGCCATTATTCTCTCTACTGACTAGACACTTTTTTCTGTTCAACCACAATACTTAAGGTTTATCTGGATTTAAGATATTTTCAGGCTGTTCTCAACCAATTTGATGAACCATCTTCTCTAACTCCCTTTATCTTACAGTTCCTTGGTTCAAAATGAAAGCTTAATACAGTATAGAATGTATCCTTTGGTATCTGGCTCTGAGTTCCATCATCGTCATTAATGGTCACTTCTAATGAGATTGACTCATTAAGGTTCTCCCCAGCTCACCCCTTCCCTTCTTTTACTTCCTCTTTCATACTTTAGTCATTCATTGTTTTTCTTAATAATAGTAACAATAATAAGAGTTACTATTTGTTGAGGGCCTGCCATATACCAGACACCATCAGTCATTTTATAGATCCAATCTAATTTAATCTTCATGATGATCTGAACAGATAGTCATCCTATCTATATTTTAACTGCATGCCCAGGACCTCACAGTTAATAAATGACAGAACCAGAATTCCAACTCAGGAATCTATTATATAATTCATCTATTTTTTTCTGCTTTATCATACAGCATAATTATTGAATTGTTGGAAGAGTCATCACATATTTTTCCATGTTTTTCTATGCAAAAATACATCATGACTTTTCCGATGACCCAATATTTCAACTGTATTAAAATTACTGTGAGACATGAGAATTAAGTTTCATTTTAATTTTTTTATAAGCCCACTACACAACACTCTTAAGTATAATTGGACCTGTGGTTTTACCTTGTTATAGTCTCTCTTTTTCTTTACAATATTTTTAAAAAACTAAATTTGTTTTTTATAAATAAACTTTGAGTGCAATAAAAAGCAGCAATTGTTTTAAAAATAGTAATCTTCTTAAGGGAAAGGTAGCCTGACTCAACAATTTAGAATATGAGCTTAAAGCCTGGATAAACTTGATTTCGAATCTAGATTCTGCCTTGTGTTACTTCAGGCAAGTGACTTAATCTCTTTGTGTAATAGTTTATTTGTATGATGTGGTTAATCTCTACTTCACAGGAATGCTGCTACATGAAATGACATAGTGTGTGTTGGAGTCACCCTACCATAGCCTTCCTAGTCAGTCAGGATCATGGGCATGCACACCTGGCATATATATTAGGTCAGCCAGGAAAATGAACCCACGATCCTACAAATGGATCCAATGTCATTTCAGCAGTACATTACTGCTGTGCCTTGCACAGATTATTACCTTTCCTGGCAAATAAACTTTCTTATACATATGACCTCATACCAAGAAAGTTAATGAAATTCTGCTAGTCCAGGTCTCCTTATATTCCATTTTAAGTAAAATATTGCAGAGCCCACAATTATCACAGAAAAAATTGAAGAAGAAAAACTTTGGCTGAAAGAAGACTGGAGGTCAGCCACTCTTACCATAACTATTGAAATCCAAATATTCCTATTTATATTATACCAAACTTTCTTAAGCTAACTTAACTAAAGACAGTATGGTAAAGAGAGTTTGCAGAGACCTTTATTATTGTATCGTTTTGCCTCACTTTTCCTTTAGTTAGTTGAGACTTGGGGAAACCAAGGCACCTTGGGGAAGTGTTGTCCATGAAAGTTAGCTGACATAGCCAACGAAGTTTGGTTTGTTTTATTTGGCTTTAATGAGGGAGAGGGTGGAAGAGAAGGGGTTATATTTGACAGGGTCTTGCCATGTCATGATGCTCCTGCCCTAGCTTATCAGTAACCTAGGACTACAAGGTAGTGCCACTGTGCCCAGCCTGTTTAAGTTGGTTCAGAAAGGAACCTGGGCTTCTCACTCAGCTTTACCCATCACATAGCGACAGCCTACCTGTTTCTCCACAATGATTGAGCCTAGCCTCCAAGATTTTGTTTGTTTGTTTGTTTTAATAAATATCTACATGAACTTGTTTTTTTAATTGCCAGTGAGTGCATGCACTCACCAGAGAGAAAGAAAAAGGGAGAAATCACCCCTAATGAGCCAAAGTTATGCCTAAATCATTTTTCCTCTATTTCTCCATCCTATCAGGATTTGGGACATACTTGCCTACACACCTGGCATGTTTTTCAAACTACTGGGGCTGGGAATCAAACTGTGATTAGCTATGTGAAATCCAGCTTTCTATTATTAATCATCATCATAATTGAGTGGCTGTGCTTTCGGTATCAGATCCAAAAAATATCATTTCCAAGACCGATGTTTAAGAAATTTTTCCCTGTGTTTTCCTGTAGGACTTTTACATTTATGTGTCTGATATTTAAGTCTTTGATCCATGTTGATGTGATTTTGTGTATGGTATAAACTAAAGGTCCAATTTCATTTTCTTGCATGTGACTATTTAGTTTTTCCAGCACCATTTATGAAAGAATTTATCCTTCCTCATTATGTATTCTTCATGCCCCAGTTAATGTCGATATATACATGAGTTTATTTCTGGGCTCTCTGCTCTTTTTCATTGATCTATGCTTCTGTTTTTATGCTAGTACTATACTGTTTGATTACTAAAACTTTGTAATAGAGTACAAAATCAGGGAAAGTTCTTCTTTCTAGTTTTGTTTGCCTTTGTTTAAAATTGCTTTGTCTACTTGGTGTTTTTGGTTGTTTCCAAGGATTTTATAATGTTTTTCTCTTTCTATAAAAATGCCATTATGATTTTGATAGGCATTGTGTAAATCTGTAGATCACTTTAGATAGTACGGATATTTTAACAATATTCATTCTTCCAACCAGTGAACAATGGGGTATCTTTCTATTTATGTATATCTTCTCAATTTATTTCTCAATGTCTTAGCACTTTTCCTTGTACAGATCTTTCACTTCCTTAATTAAATTTTTTCTTACATATTTTATTATTTTTGATGCTATTGTAAATGGAATTGTTTCCTTGATTTCTTTTCCAGAAAATTTGTTGTTAGCGTATGGAAATGCAACTATTCTCTGTATTTTGATTTTTATATTCTGCAACTCTACTGTATTTGTTTATTACATCATTTTATCTACAGAGACAATTTTCTTTCTTTCTTTTCAAGTTGCATGTCTTCTGTTGTTTTTCTTGCCTAATTGCTCTGACTAGAACTTCCACAACTGTGTTAAATAGAAGTCAGTGTGTGCATCCTAGTCTTGCTCCTGATCTTAAAGGATAATTTTTCAGCTTTTCTTCATTTAATATTATGTTGACTGTCAGCTTATTATTATTTTCAGGTACTTTTCATATATACCTAAATTGCTGAACTTTTTATCTCAAAAGGATGTTAAATTTTGCCAAATACTTTTTCTGTATCTTCTGAGATGATCACAAGATTTTTGTCTTTCTTTCTCTTAATGTGGTTTATCATGTTTATTGATCAATGTATGGTAGACTATCCTTCCAAGACAGGATAAATTCCACTTGATCATGGTGTCTGATCCTTTTCATGAGCTGTTGAATCTGTTTCATTGGCATTTTGTCTAGAAATTTTGCTGCTATGTTAATCAAGGATATTGGTTTGCGATTTTCTTTTTGTCAATATAAAATGGATATATTTACTTTTTAAATTTGTTTGCTTTATGTTTGTTTTTATCTTTCTTTTTTATTTTCTTATTAATTTTACATTTAATCACTGCACATCTTTACAGCATACAAAATGAATTTTGTATTACTCCAGTCAAAGATATTACTATTCATATTATCACTGACAATTTTTTAAATTATTTTTGTGTCCATTAAATGATTTGCTTCTTTTTTCCCCCTTGATTCCCTCCCTCCCAATCCTTCCCCATTACACATCCTCCTCCCAGACTGTCTCTAGTATCCACAGGTACTTTCCATGTTTTATATCTTTCAATCTTTCAGGTTTGTGATTTTCTTTTAGTTTTTTGTTTGTTTGCTTTGTTTTGTTTTTAAATCTGGCTTTGGTATGAGAATTAATATTGGCATTATTAAGTGAGTTTGGAATAGTTTTCTTCTATTCAGTTTTGGGGAAGAGTTTCAGAAGGATGAGTGTTGTTAACTTTAGAAAAGTTCTGTAGAATTCACCCATGATGTCCTATGGTACTGGGCTTTTCTTTGCAGGGTGGTTTTCCTTACCCCCACCCTGTTTTGACCTCTTTATTCTTTATCAGTGAGCTCAGGTTTTTCTATTTCTTCATTTTCCAATTTTGATATGTTGTATGTTTCTAGAAATTTATCCATTTCTTCTAAATTGTCCAATTTCCTGTTATATAAGAGTAATCTCTTATGCTTCCTTAAATTTTGTAGTATCAGCTGTAATGTATTCTCATTCATTTGTAATTTTTATCTCTTCTCTTTTTTCTTGATAAGCTACTTAAAAGTTTGTCAATTTTATCTTTTAAAAAATCTCTTAGCTTCACTGATCTTTTATATTGTCTTTCAAGTCTCCATTTTGCTCTAATCTTTAATATTTTCCTCATACTACTAATTTTGGGCTGATTTTTTTCCTAGCTCTTTGAAGTGTAAAGTTAGGCTGTTGACTTGAGATATTCTTTTTTTCTTTCTTACTTTTAAAAAATTTGCTATGGGGTGTGTGTGCTTTCTGGGAAGACACAGAAAAAGGGAAAGTGAGAAAGCAGCCCCCAGAGGGATGGCAATGCTTTCTCCTCCATTCTCTCCTTGAAATTTTGGACATGTGCTCATATATACCTGATGTATCATATTTATTATTTTATATACACTTAATGTCATATTTATTGCTTATATATAACTTTTTTCTATCACATTTATTGATTTATATATAACTTTCATATTTATTATCATATATATATAACTTTTCAGTAGCTACTGGTTGGAGTTTGGTTTTGTTCGTAGTTCATTTGGCTTAATATAGTTTCTAAAGATTGTATATAGCCTGTTTTCACTTACTTTCACTAATGAGTGCACAGAAAATCCAGGGCAGTTGGATATTATTTTTTCTAGAGTATGCTATGTGATCATTTTACCAGACTTATCTCACTCATTGAGGCTAATAGTAAATTTATTTTGCAAACTCAAGAATGTTTTGGTGAGAGAAAAACAAAGTATGCATTTTGAAGAATTCTTCACAAGTGACTTCTTTATCATCCTCAGTTTATTATTTAAGAAATCAATTCTTTACATCTTATAATGACCCTCTAGCACTGTAGTTAATTTCTATTTTACTGTGATTACACTTTGAGTACAAATATTTTTCACTTATTCTTAAAAACATTACTTGGGGGGCCAGCAGGTGGTATGGTGGTTAAGGTGCTGGACTCCACATGAGCAACTGTGGTTCAAGTCCCTGATACAGTGGCTTGAAAATCACACCAGGTATGTGTACATGTGTGCCCAAAAATTCCAAGAGGAGAATGGAGAAGGGATTTTGGTATGGTCATCCCCCCCTGGGGGGGGGCAGTGATTTCTCACTTTCTCTCTCTCTGTCTCTCTATGGCAAGCACACACACCCTATGGTAAAACCTAAACTAACTAACTAACTAACTAAATAAATAACCATTATTTGGCATTTATACCATTTTAAGTCTAATCCATTGCATATTAATGTATTTGGTAGGCCTAGTGGCTGAGGATAATAATAGCTTACCTGAAATTGAACAATTGAGCATATTGTTTTACTAATTACACCCTTTTATCATTACCCCTTGTCAGTAAGGTTACTACTATATAGATCATTACTGAATATAATTTATCAGAAATATTAAGTGTTCTATTGAATGCCACATTCCCACCACCATCTGTTGAGGCTAATTTAACTTCATCTCAATCTTTCAATAGGTATGTGTTTGGAAGGAAAGAAGAGGGCAAATGGAGAGTGGAGTACTCCTCAAGTCCTGTGTGTCCATGAAAAAGCATGGTTAAATATAGGCTAACCTGAGCCACATCTCACAGGACCACTTTGTAGACTCTCCCCAGAATCCCACTAGAGGAACATCTATCTCCTTGAGTGACAATGCTGAAGTAATGTGTTTCTGGCCATTTGCCTTAGAAGCTCCTACTTAAAAGGGACAACTATTTGTTGAATAAGATTTTGTAGAATCATTGTTTTAATTTTGGGGGTCAACGTATATGTAGATGAAGTATTGAAAATTAATATATCATTACCTACTGTAATATCCTGCTCTATTTTGAAAGTCAAAATATTTCAGTATTTCTGGGAAATTATTAAAACATTTTTGCACAAATATGAAATACTTGCATACTATGCAAAAAATATCTTCTCAAAGTTACAACATTGCAAAACTTTACTACTACCTGACTAAATACTGGAAGGTAACATAAAAAAAAATACTAGACACATATTTAGAGATGTTTGATATATAGGTGAAAATGTGAAGATTAACTTTTAATTCATTTTGTAATTATCCAATATTTATGGAAGAGTATTTTTATTAAATTAATGGGCCCATTGAAACCTATAATTCACTGTTTCATAAGAAAGTGTCACTGATATAGTTAATAGACTTATAATGAGGCCACGATTTAGAGAAACAATGCTTGAATCATTTCCCTATAAGCCTAATACGTGTATTTAAAAAGCACGTGTAGTTATAATTCTATTAGTCAGTGATGATTTTACAACATAAATAGAAATAATGTGTTTAAATAGTTCATAGTATACACCTTTCATTATTAAATCATCTCTTGCTTTGTGGTGATTTCCAATTTTAAAAGTACACAAAGCATTGCATGTTATTGCAATAATTGCATTGTGTATAGATTCCCAAACCCCTAACAGGATCTCCCACAATTCTAGGGGCCATTCAATGCCCTAGAAACATTGTTAGATTTTCAGGGAAATATTGTGCCACTTCTAAAACTTTTTCACACAGGAAACATTTCTTGAAATATTTTGAGTTCAGTAAAAAACAACATTCTCTGTGTGGGGAATGTGTTCTGAATTCAGATATATTTTGACATCATGTGTAAATTCTTTGGTGTTGATCAACATTCCAAGCAGTGTCAATGCATACCTTACTGAGATTCCATTTGTTGTTTTCACAGATATCAGGAAACCTTACTGTGCCTTGGATTACAGGGTGTTCTAGAAAAAGAGCAGTAAGTAATCTCTCATTTAAAGCAGAAAATGGGTTTCCCCTTACTATTAGTAGGAATGTCATTGAGAAAATTGTCATGATGTTTGTAAAGCAGACAAAATAGAACCTCGATAAGACTACATTGTCTCAAAGGACATATTCAGAAATTACAATATTACAAAGGTAAACTTAAATAAAATTTAGTAGTTAGTACACTGTATAATCTGTGGGCAATTTTTTTTCAGTTTTAAAATCATTCAAAGGAAATTCATAAAATGCTATCATTTTTTTTTATCTAATTAGTCCCATTAATTAAATCATGTAATAGAATCATGAGTGATAATCATCTCAGTCATTATTAAGTAATTTACCTCATTGTCTAGTTTCAGTACAAATCAGGACTCAGAAGTGATAACTAAGTAATGTTTAGCAATTTTATTTTGTTCTTTGACTCTCTGCTACAACTATTGTGAATTTTATAATGTCAACAGAACTTCAGTAGAATGTGCGTTCTCAAAGAATCACATTAAGTTTTTCTTTTAGAACCGATTAATCTGCATCTTAATAAGTACCCTAGGGTTTTGTATAACTAGTTCATAAATAGGAAATGATTAAAAGATTTTAACCATGAAAGAGACATGAATAGCCTTTTAGGATTATAATCCAAGTTTCTATATGATGGATAAGATGGGGCTAAATAAAATTGAAGCTAAGACTTCAGTACTGGAGTGGATTGTCTAAATTCCTTTCTCCTTTCAAATCTTCACAAAAATAGAATTATAAATCCTAAAAATAATATTTGAAGATACCGAAGGAGAACTCTGAAGGGTGGAAAGAAGGGAACTGGTTAGAGACTGCAGGACTTGGAGAAACTACAAGGATGTCTTGTTCTGAACAGTAGAAGGCTATCCAGGCCAGGTAACTCATGATCCTTAATCTAGCAACATAAGGCATCTTGGTAGGCTCATTCATTCCCCACATAAAGCAGGAGTCCCACAAACAGCATGAAGTGAGTCTGGTTACATTGGCAATAAAGATTCGTTAGAAACCTTGCTGACAACAAGCAGCCAGAGGAAGTGCTCTCTTTCTGCTGGTCTTAACATTCCTCCCCACAGATGGACCAGGCAACAGTGCCAAGGAGGATATTGACACAAGAGCCGCCTGGAATGTGGCGCCACTTTGTAAGTGTGAGAATTCTGTACCCCACCTAGAGAACTAGGTGGTTAGTAAGCATAAGCAAAAGGGACCAGGCTACAAGAAACATCCAGCTCTGAAAGTGCACTATTCATCCTTGAAGAATGGAGAATTCATTTCTTCTAGAGACACTGGTCAGTCAGGTGGCACCAATAGCGGGTATCTCCTCAGAAGTGTTTGTGCTGGATACAGTCCTTCTATCTCCTTAGGGGACATCAGGGATCAGTGGAAGCCCCAGTGGCACTAGATTAATGAAGAAGATAAAAATAGTGACACAAAGGTTCGGAAAATTAAAGTATCATTGGACCCATAACTAATAAAAGTAGATCAGGATCCAGCTGTGTGACTGTTAAATTAGATTTAAATAAGATAGAAAAAAATCATTATGGAATGCCATAAATATCCAGAAAACAACTAAAAATTACCTATCACACCAAGGGTCAAGAAGATCACAACTTGAATGAATAAAGAAAATCAACTGATTCACAGATAAATCAGATGAGATTCTCTGATAAAGATTTTAGAGCACCCATTATAAAAATGCTTCAACAAGCAATTACAAATTATCTTGTACCAAATAAAAAAATATATAAAAACTTTGGGAAATAATAGAAGTTATCAAAGATAATCAAATAAAATTATACAAGTGAAAAAATACAATAACTAAAATTTAAGCTTGCTAGATGGCTCAATATTAGACTGGAGGTAAAAGAATATAGAAGTAGTAAACTTGAGAACAGATTATTAGAATTTAAACAACAGAGAGAAAATAGGCTAAAAAAAATGAACCAGCAAATGGTGTAATGGTTACGTCACTGGACTCCCACGTACCAACCGCAGTTTGAGTTCTAGACCTCGAGGCTTGAAACTCATGCCGGATATGTGTGCACACATGCCCAAAATCCTGAGAAGAGAACTGTAGCATGGACATGGAGGGATGATTTCTTGCTTTCTGTCTCTGTTTCTGTGTGAGAACACATACTCTACAGAAAAAATATCTCTAAAATGAATAAATAAATAAATGAACAAAGCTTCAGAGTTCTGTGGGACAATGATGAAAGATCTAATATTTGTATCCTTGGAGTCTCATAAGAAGGAAAGAAGCAGTAAACTGAAAGAATAATTGAAGAAATAATGACTGAAAACTTCCCAAATTATGGGGAAAATAACATAAACTCATAAACTTATAGATTCAAGAAGTTGAATTGGCCCCTTGGGAACCAGCAGTTAGCGTAATGGCTATGTCACTGGACTCCCACGTAGTTGACCACGGTTCACTGCCCAGACCCGGTGGCTTAAAACTCATGCCGGGCACATGTGCGTGTGTGCCCAAGATCCCGAGAGGAGAATGGAGGAGAAGGGATTGCGGTGTGACCATCCTCCCTGGGGGTGATTTCTCGCTTTCTGTCTCTATGTCTCTGTCTGTCTGGCAAGCGCACACGCCCTATAGCAAAAGTCTCTCTCAAAAAAAAAAAAAAAGAAGTTGAATTAACCCCAAACAAGATAAATGCAAAGAAATATACACACAGGAATATTTTAATTAATGTTCTGAAAACTAAAGGAAAAGAAAATCATCTTGGAAGCAGCCAGGGAAAAAAGATGTATTACCTACATGAAAACACCAATTCAAATGATGGTGAATTTATTTCTCATCTGAAATTTTGGAGGCCAGAGGGAAGAGGCAGATTATTTTTCAGTTGTTGAAAAAAAGAAAATTCTCAGCTGATAATTTCATATTATCCTTCATGAATGAAGAGAAAAGAAAGACATTCTCAGACAAAAGAAAACTAAAAGAATTTATTGATAGCTCAACTACCCTAAAAGAATGGCAAAGAAAGTTCTTCCAATAGAAAGAAGATGATAGAATGAAGGAATCTTGGGACACCAGGAAGGGGGAAAAAAAAACAGAAAGAGAAGAAATATGGATATCTTACTTTTCATAAATTTTCTATATTATATTCAATAACCAAAACAAAAGCTATAAAGTACCATCTGGTACTCAAGACAATGGTATTTAAAAGTGGGGAAGATGAAGCTACCCAAACAGAAGTAAGATTTCCAGTCTTTCCTGGAAGTGATAAGATGCTGGTATTAATGCACACTATAAGTCACATGTATTAATAGCTAAAACAACCACTATGAAAACTATACAAAATGATACACTGAAAATAAATCAAAATGGGGTCCTAAAAAATGTTCAGATAACTCAGAGGAAAGGCAAGAAAGGAGATACACAGAAATACAAAACAGAGGAAACAAGATAATGCTTAATATATCAATAATTATCTTAAAATAGATGTTCTAAATAAGCCAAGTAAAAGGTAGAGATTGGCAAAGTGAATAAAAAAAATAACCCAACTACAGAGTGTTCATAAGAAACTCACTTTAAATTAATTAATATGAGTAAGTTGAAAATTAAAGGGTAAGGAAAGATACACTATGAAGACATTAATTATAAACACCAGGAGAAAATAACTATATTAATATCAGATAAAATATACTTTAGAACAAAAAAAATACTAGAGATAAAGAGGACATTACATAATATAAAATGATCAACCCACCAGAAAGATGTAACAATTCTATATGTGTATCCCAAGCAATAGAACCTACAAATACAAAAAACAAAAACTGATAGAGCACAAAGGAGAAATAGACAAATCTATAGTTATATATGCTAATTTCAATACCCTTTTCATAGACAGAACCAACAAGTGGCATGGAGATTAGGGTGGTTGGATCCCACATAGTTGACTGAGCAGTTTGAGTCCAGACCCAGCAGCTTGAAAGTCTCACCAGGAATGTGTGCATTATCCCAAGGGTAGAATGGATGAGAGGCGATTGCAGCATGACCAGTCTCCCTAGGAGGTCATTTCTCACTTTTCCTCTCTCCCTGTGTCTGTCTCTGGTGAGGACACATGCTCTATAGCAAAACAAACAAACAAACAAACAAAAACAAACGAAAAAAAAAACAAGGAAAAGTACTACTAGACAGAAAAAAAGCAAGGACAAAGAAGATTTGAATAACATAATCAAACATACATAGAATACTCCACTCGAGAAAAAAATGTATTTATTTTAAAGGATCCATATAACATTAATCAAGACAGACCTTATTCAGAACCATTAAAGAAAATATAAAAATTGGAATAATAAAAAGTGTATATTCTGACTATAATGGAATGAAACTAATAATCACAGAAAGACATGAAAATTAGCCAACTACATAAAAATTAGACAGCAGAACTTTAAGTAATCTGTGGGTCAAAAGGATATTACCTATAAAGGTTTTTACTACAGATGCAAGAAAAATATGTCCTCATCTTTTCTCTCTGTCTGATCGTGGCAGCCAAGATTTATTAGAGGAATACAAGGGGAGGGAAAAGGACATCTTAAAGGAAATAAAAATAAATAGAACTGAATTAAAGTGAAAAATACAATACATCGAAACCTGCAGGCTATAACTAAAAGTTTAGAACACTGTATGCTTTTCATTGAAAATGAGAAAAGGAAACAAATTGATCACCTAAATTTGTATTGTTTTATTTTCTTAAGGTTTTTTTTTTTTTTTGCTATGGGGCACAAGCACGTGTCAGAGACAGTGAGAAACAGTGAGAGGGAAAGATATCACTCCCCAGGGATAATGGTCACACTGTAATCCCTTCACCTCCATTCTCCTCCTGGGATTTTGGGATCTCTGCACATGTGTCTGGTGTAATTTGCAAGCCTCCAGGTCCAGGACTCAAACCACAGTCGGCCACATGAGAGCCTAGCATCTTAACCACTGCACTACCGCCCAGTCCCTTAATTTGTACTTTAAGGAACTAGAAAAAATGAGAGCAAAATAAAGCCAAAGGAAATAGAAGTGAGAAATTTATGAACAGAAGTAAATGAAATTGAAGATAGGAAAAGAATAGAGAAAAACCAATGAACCAAAAACTGTTTTCTCCCGAATCAATAAAATTGATGAACATCTAGCACAACTGAAAAAAATTAACTGACGCTAAGAAGACAATTCTGATACTATTACAGTACTCCAAACAAGAAATGATGATCTGAACTATAATGATAACAATGAACATAGAGAGGAAAGAAGGGAATAAAATAGATGTTAAGGAGATTAATTATTGGGCTTGATAATGAATGGATGTGGAGAGAATGAATGTATGAAATTATAAGTAACTTCTAATTTTTATTTTGGTGACTAGATAACTGAAAGGGTTAATCACTAACATAAGGAATTAAAAAAGGAGGAATGAGTTTGAAGAAAAGACCTGTATTATATAATTATAATCAGAGTTCCTGAGGCTTGGAGGAGTTGTTAGAATAAATTTTAATATTTGCATGTTCAACATCACTTACCTACATACATCTTTCAAGTTCCTCTTCTCTTAAACTTTTATTCATCATTCATGACTTTCTCTATCAGTTTCTAGAACACAAGTGATCTGCAGTCACTACCCTAGAGTAACCAGTCATTCCTGTCTCTAATGATGTTCATCTAATTTTTCTCTGTTAACTTCCCCTGAAAATATATTTCACTGAAATAAGACCTGATAATGAGAACACTGAATCATGAGAATTGCTCTTCATTTATTCACTTCAAATACTGATTAGAGTATCTACTACTGCACTGTCCAATGCAGCTACCACTAGTTCATGGGGCTAGGCTATTGATCACTTCAAATATGGCTAGTGTAGATGGGGAATTGAATTTTCACTATGAATTTACATTAATTATTTTAAAATAAAATTTAAAATCTGTTGTGTGGACTTCCACTTCTGACCAAGTTAGACTAATAAAGACTATATTTGGGACCAGCAGTTAGTATAATGGCTATGTCACTGAACTCTCATGTAGTCCACCACAGTCCAAGTCCCGGATCTGGTGGCTTAAACTCATGCTGGGCACATGTGCGTGTGTACCCAAGATCCCAAGAGGAGAATGGAGGAAAAGGGATTGCGGTGTTGCCATCTCCTTGGGGAG